GAGACATCCAGCTGGTACTCTAAGGCTGCGTTTATACTTTGCGGCAGCGTAGCGTAGCGCTTCCAGCGTACGCCAGCGGCAGTGCCGGGGAGAGGATGCATATCGATCTAGCGTTCCCAGCGTCACCAGCGTAACGCTAGCGTACGCGTGACGCTTCGAAAACGCTAAGTCTCTGACGGCGAACATAGCCGGCAGGGGAGCTAGAGATTTATGTGAGAGCTTGGAGGGGGTCAAAACACAATCGGACTCTCCGGCCACATAGTTTCTAGCATACACATCGGACTTGCGCGTCTCTCACGGCCACATAGTCTCTACAATACACATTGGTTGCGCGTCTCTGACGGCCACATAGTCTCTACTCCCCTGCCGCTGCAAACGCCAGCAAAACGCTGGTGAAACGCTGGCGAAACGCTAGCGTACGCTAGCGTTACGCTGGTGACGCTGGGAACGCTAGATCGATATGCATCCTCTCCCCGGCACTGCCGCTGGCGTACGCTGGAAGCGCTACGCTACGCTGCCGCAAAGTATAAACGCAGCCTAACACTTGAGGGTGCCGCGCGATCTGAGATGCCCTGAACTATGCTTGAGCGAGGTGCTGGGCGTTAGCCGGTACTTATTGTTCTGATTACCACACTTAAGCCCTGGTAATCAGAACAAGGTGGGTCATGAACGTCCGCGATGTTGGCGGCAAAGCAAGGGTGGTATCTGAGCTCCTGAAGAATTTGTTCATATGAGCCGAGTGAAATGGAGCAGGGGCTCGGGGCAGTGTCTCAGCTAGGAGTGGTGCTGAAAATCGACTATGTGTAAAGATAGCAAAAATTTACTTGAGATAGTGCTGAAGTTCATCTTCAACAGCGGTGTCCTCCTGTAAAAAATATTATCCACCATGATGACAACCCATTTTAAGACTATTGAACCTTTTAAGATTAGAAATTTTAACATTTTGAGACTACTAAACAACTGACAAACCAACTTCATACATATCAACTTCCATGAGCACCGATTCGCCAACGAGTATTCAAGGAATGGAACTAACTGCTACAGCATTCAACGGCGTTGATTCGAACGGGGACCTTATCATTACTGGTAAAAAAAGCTGGCTCTCATCATGCGAAGCCCTCGCTTGTTTGTTGGTTTGTTTTTCTGCTATCAACCGTAGAATCACTCGAATCAACGGTGATCACTTGCTCCAACGACAACCCATGGGTACGGTAATCTAACTCGGAAATTGTCGCGCCACTTGCCGCGCGGCTCGCTGTGACGCGACGTGTGCGGGGTGACCTGACTAGCCGGCGATAGAATCGCTCGGCTCCCTGTTGATATTAGTGGGGTGATGACCTTATAGACAAAATGAATCCAAACATATCTGAGAGAGCATTTGTTAACACTCGAGTTTACTCCTCTTTTCCTTTCTATAATCTGTTGTAAGTGTGATAAAATGTTGTTGCGGTCGTTTTACCCCATTTCCTTCCAATACATTTTCACTCATCCGCCAAAACTATCGGGACTCGTGCGAACGATTGCGTAATATGAGCGATCGCGTCGGGCGAGCGACCGAAACAGTGCCGTCGCGAAGTCTGAACGCTGTCCATTGATACACCTCTTTGGATGAGCTACTTACACATAGACCATATCGGAGGGCAACAAGAGGCATTCCGGCAAGGCTGAGTATCACCAGGCCATGTATCTTCTCTTGAACGTGCCTCTCTGATTTTCCTTCGTCTAAATTCTCTCGTATCCGCGCCATTTATTGCCCTCAGATATGGATTGGTAATACATGCCATAGAAAACACCACAATGTTAAAGGGCTGAAATTTATCAAGAATACTGTACAAATACTTCTCACAATTAATGCACCATAGCAACCACATATATAGCAACTATCTACTCACAATCCCTGAGATGCGATAGGCGTGGCCGCGTACTTGAACTGAACGTAGCGGCGGCGCGGCCACACGAATTGTAACCCTCACCCACCCTTTGCCATGTTCAAATGCCATGCGTACTCCGTCTCAGGGATAAGGAGTGTACATATTTGAGATCTCTTATGAAATGTTCGCCATTACTAGTACTAATAACGATGCTGCAAAGATGGCCCTATAGGCACCGTTACAAAAGTCTCCATCGCACCAACACGAGTGCTCAATTACCGTGGCATCAGACAGGCACGTCAGTTGAGCCTGAAAACAGAATAATAATCGACATGATCGACTCTGTTGGGTTCAAAAGACAACAAAACATTTTAGGCTGCGTTCGTACTTTGCAGCAGCGCCCACTTTCCGAGCGTCCGGTAGCGCTATTAGGGAAGTATAGTATCAATTTGGCGTCTGCCAGCGTTCACCAGCGACTGAGGTTAGAGAGCACGGGGAAACGGGAGGGTAGCGAACACCTGGATGAGGCGTCGCGAAATTGTGGCGTGTGCAACCGCACCACACAACTGCTGATGCACAGAATTATGCAGATCAAATGCACCAGGGTGCCGTGTTGTTGCCAGCCGCAAATTCATCATCCACACTTGAGCTTCTATACCCTCGAAAGAGCACTGGTGGACGCTGACAGACGCTTTTACCAGTATTATACCTAGTCGCCGACGCTGCCGGACGCTCGGAACGCTAGTGGACGCTGGTAGACGCCGGTGGAAGCTGCAAAGTATGAACGCCCTGAGCAGAAAGGCATTAGGAGGAACAAAATGTGTTGATACTGTCTCACATGGTCTAACAAATGCAACCTCTCTCACTGTGGGGTACATAGTGTATATTAAAGTTGTGAGGTGTCGTTGTTAGTTTGTATTCTTCTGTTAGACAAACACACCTCGCCAGATAAAGAAACCGCAAGTGCAGAAATTGTGGTCTGGGATAGCTTGAGTAGTGGGATTCATTAGGTCAAACATCTTGTCATAGCATCCCCGAAACGTCATCTTCGAGAACGAACCTGCAAATCTCACCGTCACAAAATATCTCGAGCTGTCTTGGAAAGACCCACAACTTTAGCACAACACATACCAGAGTTATTCAAGATTTGTTGCCATTTGAAGCACTTAGTTTCACAGACATCTGTAGACCGTTGCTGAAATTTAATTTTCAGACAACAAAAAACTGTTTGGAAGTACAAGAAACATGCCAGCAGTAAACAGTAGTGATTTGGCGAACCCTTTGACTCTAACTGCAACAACGAGCGGGATGGTTAAAGTTTCCTAACCTGACATCATTGTCTTCGCGGGTTTTTCTTTCATCTGGGAAACTTCTCTGAGTTCTAGCAGCCGAAAGTTAAGAACCTGGCTGCTCGCTTCTGAGAGGTAGGTTACTGAACTCATGACTTGTCACCAAGTCAAACATTTGGAAAGCATTTCAGACGCCAGTGGTTGCAGGGTAGTGGCGACGCCGAGTGGGCTCCAAACGCCTCCCACGCCTTATCCTCAAAGTGCAAGCACTTACGCAGTTACCAAGCTTGCCCGAGCAAACACATACACTCTAGTTCGCAGGCGTGCGCTTGAAGTTGAGCGTGTCAGGCAGCGTATGAGTGTGTCCCCCCACCCAGTTAGAGCCGTTCTATGCTTCTTTTTTGGAGCCAGCATGACGAGTATATATGAACGTTATTGAATATAGACATATCATCGCAGCTTTCAACAACTGTGGAGAAAGGTTTTGACCTGCGCAAAGTCATCCCGCCTGAATAGTACAACTCATCCGCAGCGAGTCACACTATTCACTCATCGTGAATGACAACCAGGAAGTGAGAGGGGTCTGTATGGAATGCGCGCGGTGGGCAGTGCGAGAGAATGGAGACACACGAGCGCGGCACACGGTGATTACAGTTTTTCAGGCCCATTCGCGAGAAGCATTTTCTAACGACAGGGATTCGCCGACGTTCATTTTCAAAGATCAAATGAGACTTTTTTCAGAGCAATCAGAGCTTATCGCAGGAGATGCACCGAAGTGCTGAAAGGGCATCACGAACGTTCTTCAGCTCAGGCTAAGCCTTCAGATCTCAGAGAATGAACCACAAGCAATAATACGGTAACACGCCGACGCAAGGCTGCAGTCAGTTAGTTTCGTCATCGTCGTGACTTCTTTCTATCATACTAGGCGCGAATGTAGTATGTTAGGGTGATAGCTTTGCTGCACAGGTCCTTGCCGTCAAAAATTTTTTTTTTGTTGGGGTCACGAAGGGATTGAATAAGAGAAATGTGAAGAATTTTGACGAATTTCTGCAGAAAAAAAAACTAAATTCGCAGTGCGCTGCCGCACAATGAGGCTGACTTGTCGAAAATTTCGCTTAGGGCTGAAGCTTGAAGAACAGAACGGGTTAATCGAAGCTCAACCCTGCTTTCGCGTTTGAATATAGCCCAGTAATTCAGAGACTGGTTATACTCTTCGATCCGTTCCCAGTACTCGCGTCCACTGTGCCTGTCGTTGTTACACCCCTTTTTCTAAAGCATTTGAAAAACTAGCACAGTCCACGACCTGGTGTAGTAGTTGAAAATATGGTGTTGGAGTGGTAATGTGGTCCACTATAAATAACCTTGTACCGGTTCCGCTGCAAAAAAATTTTGAGGGAGGGGCGCTATAGCGCAACATAGGTTCCGTGTCGCTTCCTTCCCCAGTGACTCCGCCTCCAGACTCCGCCAAAACGAGATGCCGGACAAAAAAAAGCATAGAAGTCGTCACTTGTACTGTCGTGGTGTTCTTATAGGGTAACCAGCCGTATGGAGGTAGTGTTGTGGGCATAGAAACTGGGATCAAGATGGGGTTCTATTTAGGGCAGTTGGCATCTTTTTTCTGCTTTTTTCTTCACTATCGAGTTACTCAGCACCTTGTCTTCTATATGCGAACCCCTAATCCACTATCTGTGATGGCGAATGATCGCGGGTTTTGCCTTTAAGAACACTTCAGCGAGGAAGACACAAAAGTTACTGGTCCTCAGACTCTTCTGAGCCCATCCGATCATCACCAGGACGTCTTTACTTCTTGAACAGATTCGAGGCTAAATATTCGATTTGGTCTTCGCTCATGTGAGTTCTTCAGAAGTTTTGACTGCTCCTCTAAGTAGAGCACTACAGTCACGGTACATGCTAGGTTGTTGCACTCCATATAGCAAAGAAGGGAAGGGCGTGGCCGCGGTCTTTATTGAAGCATGGCGGCGGCCGCGCTTTTGGCGGGATAAAGCCGATTCAAGACTGTTGTTATCATGTTTTCGTCCAGTACAAGACAGGATAACAGTTGTTTTGAATGGAAATATCCCACGAAAAATGCATCGTAGTACACGTTCAGATGAACAACGCGGCCACGCCCACTCCACCTGCGAGTTATGGAGTGTATGTTGTGCACTCCTACTTGGAGGTGCGCACTTCTATTTGAACGAACAAAAAATCAAGACTTCATAGAGACCTTTATAATCCATGGGTCATCGTCGCAATGATTGTCGTATGTGAGCGGTTCCTGTCTTCTATTCGGAGGCCCTCGTTGCTTCGTGATGAAATTCTGCTCACAAAAATACATATTATCACTAGGACACCGGTACGGTAATGAGTAAAACTTTAGTTCTTTTTTATTGTTCTCGAGTGTTGATCCATGGGCCCCAATTCCTCTTACTATAAAAAAAGTTTCCATTCGAGAATGTTTGTATTTTAATTTTTTGGTGATTCTCAACTGGATATAGTTCATGTTTCCTTACAACCAAAATAGCTGAATAAACATGCTCACCGACTTCATATTTGCTGAGGCACAACTGTAGCAGTTACCTGAAATGCGAAACCAGTTTTACGAGTGAATCGAGATGTCTACAAGCACTCATTTAATTCCTCCGGCTCCCTCTCAATGATGATTGACTTTTTTATAGGTCGATATCAAACTATTGCTCAAAAGGAGAATAAAGGAAACGGTCCGCGATGATCTGTGAAAATGCAAAAGGTTGTCTGGGAAGGGAAGTATATTCGCAATGGACAATTTTGTGCCATTTTCGTGGCGTAAATTAGTAAGGTAAAAGAGTTAAGGAGCTTGCTGCTGCTCTTGTGGCGCCTCCCTTTTTCAGTGATCCGCCTCCGGACTTCACTCTCAAAGAATGCCTTCCAGTCAGGAACGATGCTTACAGTAGCATGAAATGGATGCTTTACTCTCCCGTTCATAGGGTTCGTTACACTGAATCATCTGAATGGACTCGTCCCGACCCGCGGTCTTTCGGCCTTCAACCAAACAATTGTTTGAGGCTTGAGGGAACTATTAAAGTTGTTGCCGACGTTCGCTTTGGCATTTTGTTCTGGCAAACAAGTCTTTTGACAACTCTTTTCCATTCTTCAAACCACTACCTACTCCTCATCGCGGACCGCTCCTTAAATGAAGAAATCAACTGAAGGAAATGGGCTTTGAGAGAAGGAAGGGGAGGGAGGGGTGATCGCAAACTCTGAACACGGACGAAAGCGATAACTATACATACCAGTAATTGAAGGAATCATTGTGATAACCATAACAGGCAACACCGCTGCTTGTACAATTGGCACCGGTCTGCAAGCTAAGGGGTTGTGTCACTTTTGCGATTCGACAATGGGGTAGGCGAGTATAGCATGCGTATCTAGGCCCAAGGAACAGTTACCCGTAGCGGCTACCTCACCCACTTTAGGTTCTGAGATTTGCCAGGGGGCGGCCACTAGTTTCGCTCTTTACCTTCCGTGTCCTCGCGACGGCGCATGTACTGACTTTCTTGGAGTAGTGGTCCTATACCGGGTCCTTGTTCAGTGCGATTTTTTTGGAAGGGCAAGGAACTAACTTGCACTGGCTGCACTCGACTTTGCCCGCAGGTCATTGTGTAGACGCATATCGCATTCCCGAAAGTCGATTTGACTCTTAAGCTGGCAGCTCCAGAATGCCCCACCTCATCCAAACAGGGGCTGATCAACGGCACAGCTTAATCCCATTTGTACTCAGTTTCATCGGAAAACTTGAGCCGTACACAGGTGCGTGCACTGGAATCAAATTGAAGAGTTTGATAGTTTGGCGTAAATACACCCTTATTGCATGTTACGGACAGTGGGGGTCAACTACAAACCTAATAGTCGCTGAATGAATCTACAGGGGAGAACAAAGCAATAAAATCATTGAAGCAAACCCTCAGTAAAGGACTGATAGGCCTTCTTTGCACGAGCAAGAAACGTGGTGTGAAAACTTAAGTGGTGACAAAAAATAGCCTTCGAGGTTTGGCGGGCGGGACCACCAGGGAGGAGTCAGAACTGTTACTTATACCGGCCAAAGCACCTCCGTTACTTACTGTAAAGCCGCAAAAGTGGGATAACCGTAGATGCTGAGGACCACAGATTCACTTGTACAAGGGATGACGCGACGCCTACGAATTGCTTGAGCGCGGAGATAGTCTTTAGAGCCGCTCTGAAGACATGCTTTATTGAGGCGACTAGAATTCTAAACGAGGTTTTTTGCTACTACCTAATAATACACATTGAGTCTTATAACTTTTACTCTAGTTACTGCTTTCGTTCTTTCCCCAAACCAATCCTCTTTACCCACTAAGTCCCCTCCAACGGGAACTCCCCCTCTCGAAGTACACCACAATAATGGGTGAGATGGTGGTTTTAAAACGCCCCCCCCCCTCCCGTCGCAGCGAAAAGTTTTGCTGCTGAGCAGGAATGGGAGTCATGTTCGATGAACCAAAAGAACTAGTTGTTTCACCGTTTTTGCCAACTGGGAGAAGGCAGGGAAGGGAAAAAATTACCAACCCAGAAAAAATGCACTAGAAGTCAATTACGACCGTCATCCAAAGCGATCAAATCCGACTTCCTCTGATGGGAATAGAACAATGATAATGTACACTGCTCCCTCTTGCTTCTGATTATTTCGGAAACCTTTTTGTTAACTGGTTATTCGCCATTTGAAAACCACCTCTCAAGGCTAATAGAACTTGGGGAAAGATGGTTGAAAAGAAAGCTCACTTCGCGATTCTGTGACCTTTACTTCCACAGCTGCTGCAGCAAAAACTATGAATAAGGTGTTCATCTGAAACAAAAATAAAATGAGAGGATATGGTCCACCCCGAGAAATATTTTAAGCCTCATGTTCATAGTGGTTCAGAAAAAATATAGTAAAGAAAGGAAAATGAAAGAACTCTTATTCGCGGCTGTCCAAAAAAAGAGCCGGAGAAGAATTAAGTCTTCACTGCCGTAA